GGTATGTTTTTATGCTGGTCTTGCTTGTTTCAATGCTGGTCCTGCTCGTCTCAATGCTGGTCCTGCTCGTCTCAATGCTGGTCCTGCTCGTCTCAATGCTGGTCCTGCTCGTCTCAATGCTGGTCCTGCTCGTCTCAATGCTGGTCCTGCTTGTCTCAAAGCTGGGTTTTGTGGTCTCAATGTTGGTCTTGCTGGTCTCAATGCTGGTCAGGAGCAGCATTGAGACCAGCAAAACCAACATTGAGACCAGCACTGAAACCAGCAAGACCAGCATTGAGACCAGCAAGACCAGCATACCAGCATTGATACATACCTTACTAGCATATGCTGTTTTTTTCAGCAGGGACTTTACCTCAGTTTTACATTAATGATGCTGAAGTAGCAGATTAGTAATAGATTAGAGCAGGAATATGTTTGATTATTATTTTCATTTGTGTGTTTTTGTGACGTGCTTTTGAATCATAGTGGAAAAACCTCAACAAAGTGAGAAGATGCCTGCTCGAAGCACTATAAACAGTGGAGTCAGATACTCCAAACTAGCCAGTGATGATGATGGATACATTGATCTCCAGGTGAGAGAATTTTCATATTTATTCACTTCAGTTCATGATTCAATGGTGTTTACTTCAATTTTAGCACTTGTCATATAGCATATCTTCGGTATACTGTACAACCATTTTTGAGGTAATAAATGTATTTTTTGTGTTCAGAATATTTCTCAAACTGTCTAAAATTGAGGTAAAGTTGGTCTTTTTTTCGCACAGTTGTTCATTCAAGTGACAACTCTCGACATTATATTGTTTACCATGCTATGTTGAATATTCGGTCTGAAATCACATGCAAGTATGACTTCAAAATAACATTAGCATCATTTAATTGAATGAATAATGTTGTACTTTGATAGTCATTGGTTGATAATATGATTTCACTATTTAGAATTTGCGAAGAACACTTTTCTGAAGTTATATTATTAAGGAGGAAGTCCAAATGTGTGGACATAATACCAACTTTACCTCGATATAATATTAGCACTAGGGCTGTGCGATTAATCGAAATCCATTCGAAACACTGCGATTAA